AAGAACCGTGTTGCTATAAAATTTTTTTATTTGTTACCAAAATCACCAGAAAAAGTTACCAAATTCAATAAGAAATTACTATTCGTAAATTAGTGAATTTCATAAAGAAAAAAATTACAAAATGTTTGTACAAAATTACCAAAGCGGAAATGCTGAATAGGAAACTTCACAAACTTCAACTGCTTTGTAGGTGCCATAAAGAACCTCAGCTTGCAAAAATTTTCTCAGAAAAAAGTAAAATGCGGTTTTGGGAAATCGACTTGTGTGATGGCTGCTAAATTACAAGCAGAAACTTTTGTAATTCTGAGGAGTTAAGTCAGCTAGAACACAGACGGGAGAGTTAGCCTCGATTTATGATCAATTCGAAATCATCTAATTGGATCCCACGTTGCATATGGACATAATTAAATATAACTAAATGTAGGTACGAAATTAATAAAATTTGCCGTTCCAAAGCTAATAGAGTTAGGGTAGTAAGGATCGTATAAAATTACTTGACTGTGCTGGAATACCTACGACCCTATTGAAACCAAGTGCCTGAATTGAGCAAGGAAAATACCTAGGTTCAAACTCGCGGCTGTCTTCACAGGATACTGGCCCTTGGGTGTCTATGCAAAAACGATCGACACACTTTTCAACAAATTCTGTCGCAGCTTTAAGGATTCAAGCGCAAAGGAAAGAGTTGAAAAATTTCTCTGCGAATGCTCGGCCCATGCAAGAGAGATGCTGAGGACATTAATCAACTATTGCTAAAGAATATTTCAGATTACAGTCGTCTCTCTTACTATGATATCCTAAATTCCTCACTAAGGAAAAGTGTCTGTAGATGTGCATGAATTTGAGGTTTTAAAGTGGCAAACAAACTTAAGAATTATCCCCTCGGCGATTCCCAGACATCAGCCGGTTATGTGCAAAGGTCTGTTAAAACAGTGGAGCTTTCTGGGCTTGTTGCTGGTCAAAAGTTTCGCGTAAACTTTTCACTTTTTCAGAGACGAAATACAAAATTAATGGGATGGCTTGATGTTTTTCGCCTTTTTGCCCAGACTTTTATTGCATATCTTAATCGCCTGAGTTTGTCTATTAGATCCAAAACAATTCTTGCGTTCTTAAGACAGGGTAGTGGAAAATCGTTCTGACTTGGCAAGCCCTTTCAATAAGCTGGAAGCGATTGCCACGATAAATGGAAAGGAAACAGACATCGTTGCGGGGCATTCCAGCTATTAGACAGTCGACTAGGGAAACTCCGTATGGATTTTTTTAGCTTACAGTTGGCTAAAATACCGCATTATAACTGTAAAGCGCCCCTTAGATCATCAGCAATACGACAACTGACTGATGGTCTTTTACAAATCGCTTATTCTCTTTATTATGGTATTTAAAAATTCATACAGAACGTAGAAGATCAACAAAAAAAGGTTTTAAGCTGCAAAAGTTTAAGCTACCATGAACCGACTTTTCATTTAGTCAATGTAAAATATTTAGTTCCAAATCTGATAAATATTATAACTATACCTTGTTTCGCAGAGAAAACCCCCACTCTGCAAAAGCTTGAAGCAAACAATTAAAATTGAAATAAAAGAAAAAATTTACAGACACGATTTTCGTTTTAAGAATCCATAAATTCATTTAAAATACTTAAACAAATAGCGGTTATTAAACCGCACAGCATATGTACTGTACATGAATAAATAAAAACTTAAAAAAGAGTCGCGTGCTTAGAAATTCCAAAGCACGCCCGAAGAAACCACCCACCGAAATGAGAATGAGCAAAATGCGATAGAAGTAAGACACATAAATAATTTGAACAACAACAACAACAGCAAAGCGAGTGTTAAAAGACATAAAATTCTCAGCAGAGTTTTGCTATTTTACGATTGCTTTTAAGTGAGTCTGCGTCGATCATAAACTATCCATGAATGGGAATGTGAGAATTGAAGCATTCACTCAATGAGTAGCTAGAAAGGGAGCACAGTTAATTTCGGGTGAATCAGTGGCAACTTTGGTCGCTTGACTGCCGGCAACGAGCCTGATCGACAAACAGCCTCGACAAGTGTCAAAAATGCAATTTGAAGTTTTTAGCTTGGGCCATGGTTCTGCTTAGAATGCAGACTTCCCTGCTATTAAACAATTAAAAGCAATTTAACTCTTCCATTTTTTGCTTTCTTCAAGCGCTGTTCATGTAGCGAATGCAGTGTTTCTCAAAGCGGTACTCCGCTACTTATTTTGCTGGTAATTAGCTTTGATAAGACAGTGGGTTGAAAATAGTGTCAGGTATGTATGTATGTACGAGTACATAAATTGTAGATGATGAGTTCGGGAGTAACTAAGCGTAAAGTGACGCGATTTCTTGGTATTCTCAATTGGGTAATTCGAGCTGCCGACTGGATTGCACAACTCTTGTTTTGTTTTTTTTATAGTCGTTCCTTATAGATCTGGTGTTGTTTTTGTTTTGTGTTCAAAATTCGGTCGAACGCCATGATTTATGACTACACACTGTATGTCATGACCGGGGTGTGTACGCTATAATTAATAAATTATGTATTTGCTATTGTACCGCCACATCAGAAACGTACTCGCAGTAATCGATTGCTAGCGAACGTGTTAGAACGCTTATGGAAGTATCATAAAAATGAGGAAAGTAGTCATAAAATGCCCGAAATCTGCTGTCTCGTAAAAATGTTAAACAATTTTGCTAAAACATGGCATTGGAATTTGGGTTTGGAAACAAGGAACATATGTACGTACGTACGAGTAGAATGAGCTACCTCATTTTTAATAAATATTATGTCATCACGATGGGTCGATAATTATGTAGGCAATAACTTAACGCCATGTCTAAATTTGTCCAAGTATTTTTGCTATGACACATCGGTAAATTTTTAGGCAATATTGGCTGGGAGTTCCTCTAAGACGGGGTGAAGGCAACACATAGCCAGAGGGCAAAGCTTTTTAAAGCTTTTGTAGATATTTCCAAGGAGCGCACAGAGCAAAAATTCTCTTTTGTCGTCACTGCCTTAAGGACTACGTATTACGTATTGTGGACACTACCAAAGGACCCCAGAGCTTTGGGTGTATAGGTACAATCAGGATACAGTATTTCATACTCTTAAGCCAACCTTACCTTACACCATCAATTTTATTCAACTAGTTACTCTGAAAAAAGGGTTATACTGGATAGGTAAGTAGTTGTGGTTGCCACTGCTACGCAGGGACACACATACATAGGCCACGAGTTGAAGGCCCGCTGCGATACCACATCTAAGAGTTCATCCCACCCACTCCCTTGCTGAACAAGTTTCATACCTTGACGAAACTCGTCAGGCACCTAGTGTTTAAATTTCGTAATTTGTCAAGGTCACTAAAGATAGCAGACCCCATAAAGCGCAATCTGCTCCTCGTTAATGCCGGACCGTTAGAGAGGAGGTGTCGAACTATCTTCTCCTCCTCATAGTTTTTGCAGCATCTATGGTAAGGCACTTCGAGCTGTTCTGCGAGTTTGCATTTTAGAGCACCAGTTGTCTGAGATATGTATATCCTCCCTTTTTAGAGAATATAAGCTTCGAGATTCGGTCCCACCTAGCCTAAGTTTGCCTAGAAATTCTCGCACGCGCGAATTTAGATAAATTCTCTTAAAACAGCTTGCACGTGGTGAAGGACAAACCAATGCGTTATTTGCCCGGAAGGATCTGCTTGGTCGTACCCGCTCTCCCCCTCGCAAGTTCGTCCGTCATACAGTTACCCTCTATATCCCCATGACCGGGCACCCAAATGAGGTCCCAAATGAGGTTTATACTGTTCTACGTAGCCATCTCTTCCAGAGATCGGATACAGTGACGGAGATCACAGCCTTAATTGCTGCCTGGCTGTTACTAGAGATAAACACCTCTTTACCTTTTAAATCAGTATGAAGTTCATTTATATCCTCCATTATAACTGAGACCTCAGCCTGGAAAACACTTCAGTAGTCCGAGAGTCGAAATGAACGGCACAGGTAGGGCAGTGTCCCTTCGTAACAGCGACAGAACGAATCGGTTAGTTTGCAAGATGACTGTCCACCTTTTAGTGCCTGCCTTTTCGTTTCCTCGTCTTTATGTAGTAGTTCTGCTAAATGAATTGAACATTTGCCAAACTCAACTTTAATTTTTTTTCTGCCATCAATTTATTGCTTTCCTATGCTTTAGAATATTTTTTCCCATATTTCTACTTGAATAACCACGTAGATTTTAACAGTGAAGTTGTTCAGTCTAGTTTTTCTGCTTTACGCAAAGAAAATACATATTACAGCATAATTGGTTGCGACGCTCCTACCCAATCCTTCATTCTCAAACCGTTTGTACATATGTATGTATATATGTTAAAAGTTTTATTCGATAGTGATCCCGAGTCTCATTTGCCAGTGAGCGCTCCGAGCTATAGAATCAATTTCGTGAATGTCTGACATTAACATTAATCATTGCGTATCCTAACTACCTTATTATGTATCGATATGAGCGATAGGCAACACGAACGATTCGTCTGCAGACGACAACATCTCTGATTGCGATTTTATTACTCCGTCGGTCGTCTTCGTCTTGCTTTTCATCGATTACGTTGCAATCGTATCGTTTGTTTTTAAACCGGCGTCCGGACTAATTTTTGAAGCATTCCTCTGCAGACGAATCGTTCGTGTTGCCTATCGTTCGTGATACATAATAAGGCTGTAAGGTCCTAAGTCTTAGTTGGTACTTTCTTCCCCTCAGTATCTAAAATATATTCTTTAGTTGTTCTTCCGCTTTCTTACGCTAATTAGAGCTAGAAAAGGCCTGTCATATCGGACAGTCTTTTTTTAGAATTAAAATTGAAGTCAGGTATTTCATAAGAGAGATTTCCATTCAGAACGAAGTCTCCATACTCTTACTTAATAAATATGTTTTGAATGAATGGGAAAGCTTTGTTGGACTGTCGCATTAAAATAAATTATTTTAAAAAAGTATTGATGTATAAGCCAATATTCTACTCACCTCAACAATCCCGTTAGACGCATCATCTTCCAGCTACTGTTTAACCACATTTTTAGGTACACGTTTAAATTTATTTCAATTCAAAGTGATTAAATACAACGTCAACTGCATTTGATACATGAGAAATTTCGTGATGAATGAGAACCTTCTGAAAATTCAATCAATTAAACTTTCTAACTATAGTTGTATTAGCGTCACTGGCTAATAGCTGCCACAAAGTTCAGTTGTTTTATTCAATTCATTTGATTCACTTTAGAGACGAGACCACACCAAAAAGGCACATCACACAAGCGACCGCAAACTGAAATTAAAATGAATCACAAATAAATAAAAATTAGTCATCTTTAATAGAAGAAGAAATTAATTTAATAGATAATTTAAAATAGGCCAAAGTTTTGATGGGTTGAATGAAATTTGGGAAAAGTTCAGAAGTTCAGAGCATATGATACATAACATAACGTAAGTACATAAGTGCTAGAAAGGGCAAAATATGTACTAATACTCGTGAATAAGCGCCACAGTTATATTTTATGAATACATGTTTTGTTTGTTATTAAAAAAAAAAAACAGCTTAATAGTTCTTATCACATTAAGGGCCGTTTTCTGAAGTAACCTCTAACTTTAAAGCTCACTTTATATTTAAAGGTTGGATTAAAAATAAAGCTATGTCTAAAGTTAAGCATTTCTATTATCGGTTTTTGACGTATGTATGTTTCTTGGTTGTTAATCAATTTAAAACCGACAATAAAATGATTTACTTTAGACACAACCACAAATTTTAATGCAGCCTTTAAATATAAAGTGAGCTTTAAAGTTAAAGGTTACTTCAGAAAACGGCCCTAAGTGTTGAAGGCTAACTGATAACACTAATTGCCGCTCAAGTGTGAATTAATTCATACTTATTTTTAGAGTTAGATTTAACATAATGTACAAGCCTCGCTATGCTTAAATGCCCAACGAGAAGCTAAATGCATAGATAGCCATAATCATTGGAAAAGATAAGGCTACAGTTCGATTTAGTGAGAGTTGTCTGATGGAAGATTGATATCACAAGCTGCGCAAACCCAAAAGTAAATTCAATGCTACCTTATTAGACCAACAAGCTCCTCTCGAATATGAGCTGTGGACATTTCTGAAACTGAAAAGATGCATAGTGTACGGAGATATCCATAACCAGACCAGGTATTATTAATAAAATTGTACTGGCTTCCGAATAATTTCAAGTGGAGAAAACGTGAAGTTTGAATCAGGAAAGTGTTTATGGGTAATCTCCATATTCTTGCTCGGCAGCATAGCTATCCAATGTGAGTATTCTGTGAGAGTACCTCATTCCATAAAATAAGTACTCAGATGAAGTTTAGAAGGTCCGAAAAGCCCTACCTCCGCTTTTTCTGCGAGGCTATAGAAAAAGCAAGATCTAAGTCTTCATAAAGAAATTTTCTACAGCGAGAACCTGTTGTTATCGTTTGGCCATTTATACAATTGTAACTGTAATGCCGTGTTATAACACCGGTAAGAGCCATTACTGCAGATTTTTTCAGTTTCGGAAGGTCTTAAGTCTTTCTCATTTAACCATGACCATAATGATCTTGAGGACGGCAATAATTTCGTTAGATCCATACATCATTTACAACGGCTATGCTACACATATTTATTTGTCAAAATCCCTCTCGCTTCATTAAGAGTGGACGCCCTTATTAATTTTTATTTCAAAGCAAAATCCAGTCATTTCATAAGCTATTTCGTTCTCTTTGATATTGAAAGGTACCACTTTTCTCTAAAGTTCGCGATATCACAAATTTTGATTCCATTCCTTTCAAAGCCGCTTAACATTAAGAAACGTACGTCAACTAAAATGACTGTATTTAGCGGGAATCGTGGTCCTCATTAGCAGACCGGCTGTAAGGAAGACTTAGCCAATATAGCTATGTATAAGCTAATAGCTTAAATTTCTCATCAAATAAAACACGCCTAATATTGATGAATTAACTTTTTGCAATGTGCAGGAGTTTCGTTTTTTCAAACTAAATAGGTAAAAATTTCTAGAATTACTCAAACCAAAAACATTTGAACAATCAATGTGTGTATTCAGTAAACAAAAAACGCCAACAAACTCATGTATGAAGATCAATTTTAGATAAATGTACAATATGTACATGCGTTTTAATTTGATTTTCCATCTAAGCTCCAAAGCGCGGCATAGAATTTAAGGTAAATAATGCAACAATTAGATAGAACGATTAGAAAATTGAAAACAAGCAAAATTAGCAAACTTTTGTAGTCAACAAAAAGTATACGAAGAAAATTAGACTTTTTTGCAAAGTTTTGCGGCTGTCTGTTGCCTGTCAATAACCGGCAAGTCGGTAAACTCTAATCGATATGCGTAACTGGGATGTGGATACATGTATGTAGATACATTTGCGTAGATAACTGGCTGTCAATATGCGTACGTGCACATGCATTCATATACATATACATATATGCATAATGGGAATAAAATGACACTCCCACTGATATAAATTGACAAAGTGAATAAAAAAAAACAAACATGAAAAAATTTAGCAAACCGACAAAAAGTAAAAAAATGCTCTACCACAGAGAATAAGGCTGCATTTTAGGAACAACGTGAATTATGTATCTAATAATCCAAGTAATGAATGCCAAAAGGATGGCTTTTTTGCCAAAAAAAAAAGAAAATGTTGAGAATAAATAAATACAAATATTTATGCTGATATTGATATATTAACAATAAATTATTTATAGGATCCTAAACTAACAGTACTCTCATAAAATATGTATGTAGTTCGATTTTCATTTGTAGCTTTGAAGCCGTTGAATGCTGTAAAAATAAAGAATATATTCAACAATATATTATTTTTTATATACTGACATGCCGGAATTCGCTGAAATCATGCAATAAATTTCAGTTTAGTTCTTTTTTCTATCGCAAATCAATCAACAAAAATGCTTCAGTAAAACAAAAAACTGAAAATAAAGAAATATTTTTCGGAGGAAAGCGCTCAAGTATCAGGGTGGTCCATTTTTTTCAGCCACCCCCAGAAAAGAGTACCTAATTTTTTTAGTCGGTTAATATTTAACCGCGCCGCCGCAAGGGATGCCCAGCTGGAATTAACTGTTCAAAATAGCCCAATGACTTAATCTTTTTGACCGATTTGTTGAGCACGATTTTTTAATTTCATTTTGTTTTTGTTAAATTTTTTAGAGAAAAGTGCAGAGAAAGTACCAATTGTTAAGAAAATCGATTTTCCTCTTCCTGTTAATGAATGTTAATTATGAAAAATTAATTTGTTTGTTAATTTTTAGAGAAATCGTAGGTATACAATTTGATAGCCCATTGAGTTAGAAGTCGCTTCTTATTTCAGTTTTTAACGACTTTAAACAAAAAATTTGTTTTTATTTAAAAAAAAAAGTTAATAAATGATGATAATAAAATCTAGTCGCAAACAATTAAAGGGTTCCCCAAAACCGAAAAAATCAACAAGAAAATTTTGAAATGCTACATAAAAAATTTATCCAAAATTATATTTTTTTTTGTAAATTTTTAGAAAAATTTTGGTTGCATATATATACAATTTTGTAGCGCATTGAGTTTGAAGTCGCCTCTTATTTCAGTTCTTAACGACTTCAATGGGCTATGCAATTTTATACCTAAAATTTTTATAAAAAATCAAAAAAAAAAAATATTTTGGTAATTTTTTTTTGCTAAAAGGCATTTTTTCCACATATGTATGTATGTACGTAAAAATTAAAGCGTTTCTTAACCACTTTAAACTCACACCTTATTGCACTAATATTTAAAAGTTAAAGCCTTTTAAACACTGCACACCTAAAATGTTTCTAAAAAAAATTTATTTGTGTGAAAATTTTTGTATAACTTTTAATTTTTTTTCCTTTTGGGGGAACCCTATAATTGTTTCCAACTAGTTTTTATTTTAGGACATTCATTAATAGGAAAAGGAGATAAACAAATTTTATCTAAACCAATAAAAATTCACAAATCTCTTCAACTTCTATAAAAACGAAAAAAAAAATCAAATGGGTTCAAAAATAAGGTTCTGGACTTTCTTGAACCGTAAATTCCAATTTTGCAAAACTTTTCGTCGGGCTGTGAAGTTTAAATATAGTATTATGCATGGAGAAAATACACTTTTTCGAGGAATTACAATAAAATCGTTGAAACCAATAATGAAACCAATAATTTTTCATCGAATAAGATTATTTTCCTTCAGAGATCCTTAAAGCATAAAATTATGGTATATATTTAACTTTAAAATTTTACTAACTTCTTCTTCATTAACGATAATCTCATCTCTTATTTACAAAAATTGTACAATTTTATGTGTTCGTAATC